AAATTTTGAGCGCTTTTAGTAAAGATACTGAAGATGGTTTCGCCTTTCATAACACTAAATAAGATACTGAGATCCGTTCCGTGAAAGACTGGTTTTCAACAGATCATACAACATTCGTTGCCGGAAAAACCTCTTCCTTAAATCGGCAGCACAAGACGTCCGAATTCATCTGTAATTCATTATATGTTCTCCGGGATGTCCGGGAGAGTGACCAAATTCCGGAACTGTCTTGAAGCAATAACACTCCAGCAATTTCAGAGCAGTCGGTTTTATCTGCTTTTTCATTTGAGGGCTGAAAAATTCAATAATTAACTCTGGAAAACCCATATCTGCTTCATGGAATGAAGGTAGTGATCGATCAAACGAGAGGCACTACCGTCTGGAGTCTTTGAAATCAACGTAGTACCCGAGCTTGACTGAACTGGCAAGACGCCACGTTTTCATCTCACGACTTTTCCAATCACAGTATTCAAAGTATACAGCTTTTTTGAACTAAAATTCATTTCCGTCTGTCTGTCAAACTTAGCACCTCCTGTGCCTTCTTAGTCAACTTTCTTTCGGAAATATCGATATATCTAGATTTGGCTCATATTTAACGGCAAAAAACACATCTTTGCCAACCATCGCTTGTTTAATTTCAGAAAAAAAAGCAGCTAAAAAGTTATTTGGAATTGACTGCTTAAAACTTTTGGCACAATTTCAAAGAAATATCCTCTTTTGAAGCAGTAGGTCACATTGGCTACATCTTACAGGTTACCTCTTTTTTTTATGTTCATGATAAGTCGCTGGTCAGATTAAAACCCCGCCACCCCAAATGGCACGCTGTCAGAGGTGAGAGCACTAGGTAGCCCGAGCAGTAGTAACAGCTGATAAGACTGCCGGTAGTTCCCGCTTCCACGGGTTGTTTAGAAATAAGCTGATCGCAACTTTGTCTGATATACTCCAGCACCAATTGTCGTTGAAAAAATAAACGAGCCGCAGAAAGATTGTTTTTCTCACTGCAATAATTCGTGAACTCTATAGAAACACTGTACGGTTTCTACCACTTATTTATACTATATAAATGTGTGATAGGCTAGTAAATTGCATAAGTGATATCTGGCTGTATTACATGCATACAGAGCAGCTACGCTCGCACTGAGAGTTTGCCTGAATTAGAACTTTATGAGTCTAGTTCTCACTACTTTCTTTATGACACTACTAACAAAAACTACCTCCAAAAGATATACATGTAGAAAAGGACGGCATGATGCAAATAATAGAGCAGATAGGTGGCGAAATACATTAAATGAAAAAGAGCCGACTGCGGGTCGAAAATCGAGATATACAGACGAAATGCGTAGTTGGGTACGGTCAGACAAACAAATGTGCTGAAACAAATAAAATTATAATGAAACTAATTCAAGTCACACTCAGTTTGTTCATTGGTCTTCGAGCAGTGCGCACCAGTGGCAAACCTGGGTCAAAACGGCATTCCACAC